GGTGCCATCACTTCCTCACCACTCAGATGCCACCACCAGGTCCCCACGTGGCCACCTGAGGTGCCACCAGGTACCTTCTCAGCGCGGAGCTGCTGCACCAGCCTCTCCTGCTCCCGCAGCACCTTGTTCTGCTCGCAGAGCTTCCCCAGCAGCTTCTGCACCAGGGAGGGGGGAAGAGAAAGGGGGGAGAGGATGAGAATCCCACTGGGATGCAGCCAGGACTGATGGGATTTATGGGATTTATGGGATTTATGGCTCTGAGGGGGTTTCCAAACTCCTGCTGTCATTGCAGGGATTTTGGGGTGACATGGGCACAAACTGGGAGATGGGGGAAGACCGAAAATCAGGAAGATTTATCCCTGAGGGGCACAAAGTGACAGGAATACGAGGACAGGGGACACAGAGAGGGGACAGGACTGGCTCTTACATCGGTGTCCTGCTCGCTGATCTTGTAGGGGTGCAGGGCGTCCCTGTAGGGCTCCGGGAACGGCGTCACCTGCAAGCAGAGCGTGGGATGAGCGCGGCTCTCCATGGGATGCCCAGGGAAGGGGAGGCAGCCCCCAGCCCCCTCTGCCCTCCCTGCGAGCCGGGAAAAGGAGGCAGGAGCCGAGCCCCGGAGCCATGGATGCCCCCCATCAATGGGGAACCACCGGGACGAAGCCACAACCTCTCCCCTGCCCACTCCGCGCACAGGAGTTTGAGAGCTGCCTCGTGAATCATTAACCAGCAGCACCATTCCAGCGGCGGGGAGAAACAAAAGGCAGCGAGATTGAGCTGTAATTCCACCTCGGCGGGAGTGGGAGCACCGATAAAGCAGCAGCAGGGCCTGTTTACCCCCGCCCCGGCTCCTCCGTGAGTCATTTTCCTTTCCTGGAAATCTCAATTACTAATGGGACCTTCGGCAATTAACTGCCTCGGGGAGCCGGAGATGAAAGGCAGCAGATAGGCAGGAGGGGATGGGTATTGCTAGAAAGCGGAGAGGGCGCTTTGGAGCCGCCGAAAGCTCCGGGAGGATGCAAATGGATCCGGATCTGGGAAATGCCCGAGGGGATGGAGGCAGAGCCGGCCGGATCGGGATGAGGCGGCCTCGGGGCAGGGAGCCCAGCCAGCATCCCCGGATTCGCCCTGCAGCACATCCCTGCTGGCAGCAGATGCAAACCGGAGCTGTTTTATTGGAAAATCCCATCCGGGAAGCGCCCAGGGCAGCACAACCCGGGCTGGGTGGCACTGGGGGGGCTCAAGCCATGTGTCACTGCAGGGATGTCCCAGTGCTGGGGACAGAAAGAACCTCCGGTAGGGGAGAAAGGCCGTTCATTGTCCCTGATTCAGGAATTATTCCGTTGGTTTAAGAGCTGCCTTCCTGTCACCCCACAACTGCTCCTTGAGAGATAAGGACGAGCCAAGCCCTGAGTGTCCAGGGGTCCCTGGGGTCGCTTCATCCAAGAGTCCCTGGGGTGGCTTCGTCCCCAAGAATCCCCGGGACAGCTCCGAGAGTCCCCAGGGCTGGGTGTGTCCCCAGAGGTCCCTGGGGTGGCTCTGTCCCCAAGAGTCCCCAGGACAGCTATGAGAGTCCCCGGGACAGCTCTGTCCGAGAGTCCCCGGGGCTGGCTCTGTCCCCAAGAGTCCCCCGAGGCATCTCTGTCCCCAAGAGTCCCCTGGGACAGCTCCATCTGAGAGCCCCAGGGACAGCTCTGTCCCCAAGGGTCCCCAGGAGCATCTCCATCCCCAAGGGTCCCCAGGACAGCTCCGAGAGTCC